TTTCTGTAATATTACAACGAACTATCAATTCCTTACCAAGATGTACAAATCCTATTCTGCAAAGGCATGTACAAGAAAATGTTATTTCATGACCAGGTTTGACAGGAGGCGTTTTATTTTACTTACTTTCGATTCCAGCGGTCCAATGTCCGGCTCGGACGGCCCCAGCTAACGGAGCGGTGAGTCCTACCGGAGCGGTCTCCTACCCAAACGGGGTCACCTTCACCTGTAAATCGGGATACGTACTGAACGGCACCGCTGATACAACGTGCCAAGCTAACGGAACGTGGAGTCATCCTGTTCCAACATGTCCACGTAAGATGAGTTTTATATTATTATTATTATAAACACAGGTAATTTCTAGCAATTGCAGAATGTGGGTTTCTTTTACGAAATATAAATTCCATGTCATGATGCACAGCCTATTCTGCAACGGCATCCACAGGAAAATGTTATTCTGTAGCCAGATTTGACAGGTGGCGATTCTCTTACTTTCGATTCCAGCGGTCCAATGTCCGGCTCAGGCGGCCCCAGCTAACGGAGCGGTGAGTCCTACCGGAGCGGTCTCCTACCCGAACTCGGTCACCTTCACCTGTAACTCGGGATACATACTGAACGGCGCTCCTAGGCCGACGTGCCAAGCTAACGGAACGTGGAGTCATCCTGTACCAACATGCACACGTAAGATGACTTTTATATCATTAGACACAGGCGATCTCTAGCATCTGTAAATTGAAGCTTAAGGTTTCTGTAATATTATAACAAAATATCAATTCCTTACCAAGATGTACAAATCCTATTATGCAAAGACATGTACAGGAAAATGCTATATTTCATGACCAGGTTTGACAAGAGGATTTTTTAACTTTCGATTCCAGCGGTTCAATGTGCTGCTCGGGCGGCCCCAGCTAACGGAGCGTTGAGTCCTACCGGAGCGGTCTCCTACCCGAACGGGGTCACCTTCACCTGTAACTCGGGATACACACTCAACGGCACCGCTGATACAACGTGCCAAGCTGACGGAACGTGGAGTCATCCTGTTCCAACATGCACACGTAAGATGAGTTTTACATTATTATTAGTATAAACACGGGTAATTTCTAGCAATTGCAGAATGTGGGTTTCTGTTACGAAATATAAATTCCATGCCATGATGCACAGCCTATTCTGCAACGGCATACACAGGAAAAGGTTATTCTATAGCCAGATTTGACAGGAGGCGATTTTCTTACTTTTGATTCCAGCGGTCCAATGTCCGGCTCGGGCGGCCCCAGCTAACGGAGCGGTGAGTCCTACCGGAGCGGTCTCCTACCCGAACGGGGTCACCTTCACCTGTAACTCGGGATACATACTGAACGGCGCTGCTGCTGCGACGTGCCAAGCTAACGGAACCTGGAGTCATCCTGTTCCAATATGTCCACGTAAGATAAGTTTTATATTGTTAGACACAGGCAAATGCAAATTGAAGGTTTCTGTAATATTATAACAAAATATCAATTCCTCACCATGATGTACAAATCCTATTCTGCAAAGGCATATACAGGAAAATGTTATTTCATGACCAGGTTTGACAGCAGCCGTTTTTTTTTACTTTTGATTCCAGCGGTCCAATGTCCGGCTTGGACGGCCCCAGCTAACGGAGCGGTGAGTCCTACCGTAGCGGTCTCCTACCCAAACGGGGTCACCTTCACCTGTAACTCGGGATACATACTTAACGGCACCGCTGATACAACGTGCCAAGCTAACGGAACGTGGAGTCATCCTGTTCCAACATGCACACGTAAGATGAGTTTTATATTATTATTATTATAGACACAGGTAATTTCTAGCAATTGCAGAATGTGGGTTTCTTTTACGAAATATAAATTCCATGCCATGATGCACAGCCTATTCTGCAACGGCATCCACAGGAAAATGTTATTCTATAGCCAGATTTGACAGGAGGCGATTTTCTTACTTTTGATTCCAGCGGTCCAATGTCCGGCTCGGGCGGCCCCAGCTAACGGAGCGGTGAGTCCTACCGGAGCGGTCTCCTACCCGAACGGGGTCACCTTCACTTGTAACTCGGGATACACACTGAACGGCGCTGCTGCTGCGACGTGCCAAGCTAACGGAACCTGGAGTCATCCTGTTCCAATATGTCCACGTAAGATAAGTTTTATATTGTAAGACACAGGCAATTTCTAGCATCTGCAAAATGAAGGTTTCTGTAATATTATAACAAAATATCAATTCCTTATTAAGCTTACCAAGATGTACAAATCCTACTCTGCAAAGGCATGTACAAGAAAATGTTATTTCATGACCAGGTTTGACAGGAGGCGTTTTATTTTACTTACTTTCGTATTCCAGCGGTTCAATGTCCGGCTCGGGCGGCCCCAGCTAACGGAGCGGTGAGTCCTACCGGAGCGGTCTCCTACCCGAACTCGGTCACCTTCACCTGTAACT